ACAATAGCATAACTAACGTTCACTACTTTTAAGTTTTTATTTATTTATTTGGTGTGCCAGGTCTTAGTTGCACCATGCAGAAGCTTCGTTGTATCATTCAGAACCTTTTGTTGTGATGCACAGACTCTCTGGTTGTAGTACATGGGCTTAGTTGTTCTGAGGCAAGTGGGATCTTAGTTCCCGGACCAGGGATCGAACTTCTGTCCCTTGCATTACAAGTCAGATTGTTAACCACTGGACCATCAGTGAAAGTAAAAGTGTGTTCGCTCAGTCGTGTCTGACTCTGCGACCCCATGGGCTATTGCCCACCAGGCTCCTCTGTTCATGAAATTCTCCAGGCGAGAATACTGGAGTGGGTTGCCGTTCCCTTCTCCAGGGGATCTTCCCAACCCAGGGATTGAACCTGTAAAGAAAGCTGAGCGCCAAAGAATTGGTGCTTTTGAACTGTGGTGTTGGAGAGTCCCTTGGACTGCAAGGAGAGTCAACCAGTCAATTCTAAAGGAAATCAGTCCTGAATATTCAGTGGAAGGACTGATACTGAAGCTGAAACTTCAATACTTTGGCCACCTGATCCGAAGAACTGACTCATTGGAAAAGCCCCTGATGCTGGGAAAGATTGAAGGTGGGAGGAGGAGGGGATGACAGAGGATGAGATGGTTGGATGGCATCACTGACTCAACGGACATGAATTTGAGTAAGCTCTGGGAGTTAGTGATGGACAGGGAAGCCTGGAGGGCTGCAATCCATGGGGTTGCAAAGAGTTGGACACGACTGAGCGACTGAACGGAACTGAACTGAACTCCTGCATTGCAGGCAGATTCTTTACTGCCTGAGCCACCAGAGAAGCCAGGACCACCAGAGAAGTCCCTAAATTTTACTGTTAATTCAGTGCCAAGCACTGTGCTAGGCTCCTCATATCCACGATCTCATTTAACCTCCTAACAGGCAGGTATCCTAGGAGATCCATTGTACTGAGCCCAGAGAGGGCAAGCAAGGCATTCAGCATCACATAGCCTGTGAATAGCAGAGCTAGGACTCAAACTCACGTCTGCCTAGCCCTGAGTCCCTGACTTAACCACCTCATGGTGTGCATGCTGAATGCCCAATGACAGCATTTTAGGTCTGAGCCAGGGGTGATGCCCCTGAGGTGCCCACAGATTGGCCCCTACCAGCTCCTGCAAGAAGAGCTAGGTTTGGGGGTTCCCCACGCTAGTTGTCATCACCAGCCCAGGCCTTGGGGACTGACTGCTCAGCACCCAGCACTCCTGCCAAATGATCTTGGCTGGAGCTGGGCTTGGCGGCGTCTCTGATGGAAGCTGCTCTGAGCCAAGAGCCTCTTGTCAGCCTGAAATCAGGACGAGCCCTCAATGCGGCTCCCCTTGGGGCTCTCTGTTAAATAAAGATGCCACAGTGGTTTGCCCGAAAGGCCTCTTTGTCTAAGGCCCTTCCAGCCCACGCGTCCTCTGCCCTGAGAATGCCGGTCTCTGTCGGCATGAAGAGCCCCTGTGTTCACCGCTGCCGCTGGGGGAGCCAGGCAGCCGCTCTGCGCCCGTGTGGGAGGGCGCCTGCCCTGGCCCCCTCCCTCTGCTGTCAGGGAGGTCACGCTGGCAGCCACTCTGCACACAGCCTGGGTCCCTGGGAATGCTTCCCTCCTGCCTCCTGCCCATCCCGGCCCACTAGTGCTCCCTCCCGACCCCCTCCTGCCTCCCTGCCACCAGGGGCCCTTGCTCTCTGCACATGCCTGCGTTCCATTTCTCTGTCTCTGCCTCTCAGTTTCCCTGTCCCTCTCCGTCTCTCCATCTCTCTATCTGTCTGTTTCTTTGTCTCTGCCTTTCTCTCCTTCTCTCTCTCTCTCTTTCCATCTCTCTCTCTTTGTCTCTGCCTCTCCCTCCATCTCTGTCTCTGTATCTAACTTCCTCTCCTCCCCTCCATCTCTCTCTCTCTCTCTCTTCTTCCTCAGTTTTTCTTTCCTTCTATCCTTCTCTCCTGGGGACCAAAGCAGCACATACCATGTGTGTTAAATTAAAACTTAAACACTGTAGGGATAAGTCCCCCCAGGCTATGTCTGAGCACAGGGCTTCATTCTGCCACTTATTTTAGTTGTGGCTTCACCCCCAGGAGCCTCAGTGTCCCCACCATAAATGGAAGCAGTGATGGGTACCTCCAGGACAGTACGGGGTCTGCCCCACTAGAGGTATGCTTGTGAGGGCAGGCGCTATGTCTGGCTCATGCCTGTACCACCCGGGCATACACCAAAAGGCTCCCTGCTTGTTGGATGATTGGAGAGTCCTACAATAGTGCCTGACATGTGGTAATTGCTCTTTGAATGTTCATTTCCTTTCTTTTGTTTTTCCCTGACCGGTCTTGGGGATGTGATCTGTTAGAGACCCTTGGAAAACCGCAGGCTCTGGAAGGAGCAGCTGGGAGATGCACAGTGTGTTTTACCTGCTAAGATCAGGTCTTGTCCCCTCTTTCCCGGCTGTGGGTTTGGCATCCGGAAAGGCCACTGTGCTCGATGCCATGCTTGAATCACTACCTGAGCAGCTCAGAGAAGAAGTAAATGATCACGTCCCTCTTCCTCAACACTATACCTCTGTCAACGCAACTGAAGACCACATGTGCTTTTCTTGCCCCTCTGTTATGTACTATTAGTGCTGCACACCAAAGCTTTATTTATTCATTCATTTGCACAAATACTCGCTGATTGCCAGGCTCTCTCCTAGGATCTGGGCACACAGCAGTCAACAAAACAGACTAAAATCTCCGCCCACATGGAACTTCCTTTCTAGCAAGGTCTTTCCCACATGTGGGCAGGCCGCGTGGCCTCCCTGACTCTCGGTCTCCTCAGTAACACAGGAATGAGATCTGCCTTCATGAGGACCATCACGAGGTGGCCACACTTCATGGAGGCCCAGCATGGTTGGCACAGGGGAGCTGCCAGGTCAGGCCACTGCACCTGAAGCAGCCCCAGTGCAGGGAGCCTGGGGAGGCACGGGCTCGAGACAGGCTCCCATCCAGCTGGCCACTGCTCCGGAGCCTCCTTATCAGCAGTTCCTCACACTCCTGTCACCCAGGGTTTCCGTCTTTCTTCCCTTGGCTCTAGCCCAGGGTTCCAGGACTGGCCCTGTCCCCCAGCCCTACTTTGACCTCATCTGTCTGTCTGTATTAAAGGATCACCCCAGTGTCTTCTCTCCATACTGAATGAGGGGCCCAGAATCAGGGCTTTGCCTGGCCTCACCCTACATCCCCCCACCACTCCACCGGACTGAGCTGGGTCAGCAGCGGTCCAGGTGCCCAGGCTGAAAGGTGCGGCATCCATGCTAGTGCAGAGCAGGAAACTGATCACCTCTGACCCTTGTCCCTCACTTTCCAGCAGTGGGCTCTCACCCCTCCTGGATGACAAACTCACAGCTCCCCTCACCCCTGCCTGCACAGTTATCCTCCTGGGGATGTCCACCTCCCCCCCGCCTGCCTGAATCCTGCACACCCCTTGGGCCAAACTCCTGCCCACTCTTCTAAGAAGCCTTTCTACACCTGTCAGCTTATTCTGCTCCTCCAGGCTCAGTTCAACTTGGCCTAAGCAAGGCCCTATTAGACCCTGCCACACCCAACCTCCGGCAGCTCCTAGAGCCACCATACTTGGTCCCCTGACCCTCACCTTGACCAGTCAATTCTTTTTCTGTTTTTTAATTCATCATTTTACATTTTAAATATTTATGTATATTTATTATTTATTTGGCTGCACCAGGTCTTGGTTGCAGCACGCGGCATCTAGTCCCCTGACCAGGGATCAAACCTGGGTCCCTGCATTGGGAGTGTGGAGTCTTAGGCACTGCACCGCCAGGGAAGTCCCTTGACCAGTCAGTTCTTACCTGTCTCTCAGCAATCAGATTCAAAGAGACTTTCCTAAAACCATCTCCTTTCCTAATCTTCCCAGGTCCAGTCAGACTCTGTCATAGCACCCTACTGTCCTTGGTAGAATGACCAGCTTGTCATTAAATAATTAATGGTGCAGTGAGTACTTAGAGGCTGTGTGTATCTGGTGCAGCTGGGGTGTGGCTGGAGTGGGGGACGAGGCTGGTGGGAAAAGGCCTTGGATTGTGGAGTTAAAGATTTTGGACTTATTCTGTGGGCAAGAGAGAACCCTTTCAGGGTTCATGCAGAATAATACGTTCCTAAGGACCCTGAGCGGAGAAGGCAATGGCACCCCACTCCAGTACTCTTGCCTGGAAAATCCCATGGATGGAGGAGCCTGGTAGGCTGCGGTCCATGGGGTCGCTAAGAGTCAGACACGACTGAGCAACTTCACTTTCACTTTTCACTTTCACATATTGGAGAAGGAAGTGGCAACCCACTCCAGTGTTCTTGCCTGGAGAATCCCAGGGACGGGGTAGCCTGGTGGGCTGCCGTCTATGGGATCACACACAGTCGGACATGACTGAAGTGACTTAGCAGCAGCAGCAGCAAGGACCCTGAGACCTAGGGTTTAATGGCCTCCTCCCCTTTTTTTTTTCCTTTTTCATTTGGTTGGCTAGTTGTTTAGTTGGTTAACTGGCTAATTAGATGGTTGGTTGGTTGAATTGCTAGCTGGATGGTTGACAGGTTGATTGCTTTGACTGTCTTCTCTCCATCCTAAATGAGGGGCCAAGAAGCAGGGCTTTGCCTGACCTCACCCTGCACCCCCCACCATTCCACACTGGACTGGGCCAGGTTTATTGACTGTGTGGTTAGTTCACTAATGGAGTGGTTGGCTAGTTGATGGGAGGGATGGATGGATAGATGAAGGGAGAGTCGTTTCATTAGTTAGCTGATTAGTTAATTTCTTGGTTAGTTGTCTGGTTGGGTGGTGGGTGGGTAGCTGGTGGTACCTGTTCACTGCGTCTCCCCCAGCACAGTCCTCGAGCCTCCCCCATCACTGTTGGCCCAAGCTGACCTCGCTTTTGGTTTTCCTGCTCCCAGTGTCATCAGGCCTAATGCCCTTTCTTCCCATCTTTCCACAGGCCCTTGTCCGGCTGCCGCCCCATATTTCACAGTGTGATGAAGTCTTTCGGTTCTTTGAGGCCCGACCGGAGGATGTCAACCCCCCCAAAGAGTAAGTGGTAGCTCAAGCCTCTCCTGTGAGGCTAATGCTGAGGCCAGCCTGGAGAGGCTCCAGACGTGGGGATACAGTAGAGGGAGCGCTGGCCAGGCCAATGAGGCTAAGCAGACATGGACCAAAGGAAGGAAGAGCATCAGTCCCCAGACTCCTGTGACCAGGGCTTGTTCCTCATTCCTCTGACCCCAGACCTGGCAAGGGAGGGTGTCTCTGCATCTGGGGAGCAGGTTTTCGTGCAAACTCTTTCTGGTTCACAGCTTATTGTCAGGAGCAGACAAGATAACAGAAAATATGCCATTCAGACATGGGATTAGCAGTCGTTGCTCTTATTTGTTGACACTACCAAGCGCCCAACTGACATGTAGAACCAGGAGGACATGTGCTGCCCAGGCGAACCTCACCCGCAGAGTAACCCAGCGGTCCTGGGCTGTGGCAGCAGATCTTACAATCATTATCAAAAAACGATGAGTGCATGCAGAGTGTTTACCAAGTGGCTTTTACCTCTAGCATTTTACAGGGGGCTTCCCTGGTGGCCCAGCAGTAAAGAATCGCCTGCAATGCAGGAGACCTGGGTTCAATCCCTGGATCGGGAAGAGCCCCTGGAGCAGGGCAGGGCAACCCACTCCAATATTCTTGTCTGGAGAATCCCATGGACAGAGGAGCCTGGAAGGCCACGGTCTACAGAGTTGCAAAGAGGCGGATGTGACTGAGTGACATAGCATGCACACAGGATAGCCCAGTTTGCAGAGGAGGAAACTGAGGCACATCGGTTAGGTGGATTTTCTGAAAGTCATACAGCTGGTTGGGTATGGAACAGGCATGAGACTTGAACCAAAACCTTTTGATTCCTCATGGTCCAGAGATGGTCGACTTTCCATGCTGGGGAGAAATAGGGAACCAAGCAGGTCTTTTGTCCTTCTCTGGGCCAGGTGGTCAAGATGACCCACTAGGTCATGCTGGAATCTCACACACGTGCCCAGACTCCATCCTCAGCTGCAGCATCCCCAGGTCCACCTGGCCCTGCCACTCCCCAGTTGTGCTGGCCTCTCAGAGCCTCTTGTTCAGCTTCCTTCCACAGGGAGAGAGATGTCCCTCCCCAGGTGGGTTGATCCTTGGAGTCATGCATGATCGTGTGCCCAGAGGGACTGTCACTGGTTGGGTGAAGTAGCAGGTGCATGGCCATAAAATCAGCTGACCCTGCCTTTGATTGATGACCCCACACCCTCTCTCTGGCAGTCAGCTAAATAAGTTGGTCTTATTTCACCTGCACACTAATGGCAATGTGTGCGTGCGTGCTCAGTTGCTTGTCGTGTCCAACTCTTTGCAACCCCATGATCTGTAGCCCTCCAGGCTCCTCTGTCCGTGGGATTCTCCAGGCAAGAATAATGGAGTGGGTTGCCACGCCCTCCTCCAGGGGATCTTCCCAACCCAGGGATCGAACCTGCATCTCCTGTAACTCCTGCATTACAGGCAGATTCTTTACCACTGAACCACCAGGGAAACCGACTAATGGCAATAGGTTAACCTTTTGCCCATCCCTGGAATGCCCTCAAGGAATGGTGGAAACTAGGCTTGGGGAGACAGTTATGTGTCTCCCCAGGTGAGACCGCAGGCATGGCTTTGTAGGGCAGGCTCTGGGGTCCAGACCCACCACTCAAGTCTCTGTGATCTCAGATCATTTGCCCAGCCTCTCTGTTTCTATCCCTAAAAAGCAGGAATGCTGGACTCCTGGGGCAGTTCAGGGGCTTACCGAGAGGACACGTGTACTGAGATAACCGGCCAGTGCTCCTGGCCCATTGGGTGGGAGGTTGTGGAACAGAATGGAACGTGGCTCCTTGCGCACTCCACCTCTGCAGATCACAGCCTGGCTTTTGCAGGGAGGAGTCATAAAGCAATTTAGTCTCCAAGTTTCCATGGCAACAGGGGTTATCTGCCTCTTCTTGAGGTGGTACCAGCCACCTGGGCCAGTTCACTTCTCATCTGGCAAGAGAGGGCCTGAGAACAGAACCACTCCAGCACGAGACAGGCCTGAGGGTCAGGAGGTGGGTTTGGCTGTGGCCCCAGAGTTCCAGAGGTTTTCTCCACCCTGGCCCCTCTTGGCCTCCAGGACCTGCGAAGAGAGACCTGTGTTCTGTGCAGAGTGTAGCTCAGACCCAAGGGTGACCTGCGCTGATGATCCGTCAGCCAAGTGCTCGCATCCCTCCCTCTCAGGACCATGTGCACCATCCCAGACCACCATACACCTCCCCCCTCCATCCTGAAACATAAACACGGGATCGAGTAACAGCGTATTTTGACTCTGGGGCGACTGTGGAGTGGCTTATCAAATTATCAAAGCCTGTGGATTTAATTGGAATTTTGCAGATAACCCCGGCCTCTTTCAAGTGTGCTGCTGCAGGACCTCTGAGCGCTCAGGGGGCTGGGGTGGGGGACTGTGGCCCTTTCCATCTTGTGAGGAGGACAAGATTGCAAAACAGCCCAGCTCGGTGGGGGAGGTGGGCAACAGGCCCCAGCCCCTCAGCTTTGATCGCAGGCCACTCGCTGGCTTCCGTGGGTAGAAAGTGGGGTCCACCTCTCGGCTGCCAGCCTTTGCTCTAGACCATGGGCCCCGCACAGAAAGGGTGTTCTTTATAGAGATGTTTGGTGAGCCTGGTACTGGCGGCCATGGTGGTTCTGCCTTCTTATGTGGCTGCTTGAGAAGGCAATGGCACCCCACTCCAGTACTCTTGCCTGGAAAATCCCATGGACAGAGGAGCCTGGTAGGCTACAGTCCATGGGGTTGCTAGGAGTTGGACATGACTGAGCGACTTCACTTTCACTTTTCACTTTCATGCATTGGAAAAGGAAATGGCAACCCACTCCAGTATTCTTGCCTGGAGAATCCCAGGGGTGGGGGAACCTGGTGGGCTGCCGTCTATGGGGTCGCACAGAGTCGGACACGACTGAAGTGACTTGGCAGCAGCTAGAAGGCAAAGGTTGCTCCAGCGCCCTGCCCTCCTCTCCTCGAGCTACTGGCTGATGGGTCCTTCAGCAGCACTGAGCTTTCCGGGGGGCTCTGGCTCAGGCCCCAGACCCTGGCATTATTCTAGATTAGCACCCTGTCAGTATGTCACCGCATCCTTTGGGCACCACCTTCAGCATATACCCAGACCCTGATCACATCTCACCGTCTCCCCAGCTGCTACCCTGGGGGCAGGGGTGGGGCAAGCCTCACCTCCCCTGGATCCTGGCCTGACTGTTCAACTGTTTCTGCCCTTGCCCTCCATGGTCCATTTTCAACACGGAGGATGGAATGACCACTTAAAAATGTACATCAGATCGTGTCCCTCTTCTGTCACATTCCTCCATGCCTCTGGTGTTGCTCAGAGTCAAGGCCCTTCCGCCTGCTCCCCCCTCGCCCCTGGTGGCACCTGCTGCCTCTGCCAGCTGGCTCTGCTCCAGCCACACCTCCTGCCCCTTCTTGCACCCTCCAGCCGTGTTCTGCCACAGGGGCTTCACACTGGCTCTCCCCTCTGCCTGGAACACTCAGCCCCTCCCCAGGAGAGCCCCCAGCCTGGTCCCATACTTCCTTGCAATCTTGACTCAAACAGCTGCCCAACGAGGCTGACCCTGGCCTTCCTGCGTAAAATCCCCGGCACTGGCCTCCCCCTCCTGGCTTCATCTTCCTTCAGGGAGCGCATCACTGCCTCCCACGCGCCCTGCTCCCTCCTCACGTTATGGTCAGTCAGCCTGGTAGGGCAGGACCATTCTGATCACAGTATCGCCAGTACCCAGAGAAGATTCAGGCCACACCCCAGGACCTAAGGGGACCCACTGGGCTGTGCATGTGGCCACCCACTCCTGGGGCCACGTCTGCCGGCTCAGCTGTCCCTGGCTTAGCCGTGTTTGAGCCCCCGAGACCCCTGTGCTGAGCCAGCGGGCCAGGGAGGCAGGCGTCCCCCGGCCTGGCTTCCCCAGGGAGCCTCTGGGCAGCCAGTCCCTCAGCTCTGATTCCCGCGGTGTCAGTGATGGAAACGGGAGCCCAGGCTGCCGGGCTGGACTCCCAACCCAGTCAACCACGTGACCCGGCAAAGACCTCTTTTTATTCAAGTTGAGATTCCCATCACTGAAACAGTGAACCTAAGGTTCTCAAAGGGCCATCCAGCAGCCCTGTCCTCAGACCCTGGCATGTTGCATATCCCTCAGAGAACAGGGATGGGAGGAGGGCAGCCCCATGAGACCCAGGGACCCGAGACCTGCCTCCCCATCTCTCCCACCTCCTGGCCCACGGCCCCGCCCTCATCCTTAGGTGCCCACACGGGGTGCAGCCTGCTGCCCCCAGCCCCCAAGCCCAGGCCCAGCCTCCCCCTCTGTGTAGAGCACTCCCGACCCCTCTCCCCACCCACCCACCCCAGTCCTGCTCAGTCCTCAGACATCCCAGGAAGTCCTCTTCCCACCCCCACCCCCCGCCCCCCAGCAAAAGCCTGTAGCCCTTGGCTGTGGCGCTAGCCACACCACTGTTTATGGTCTCTCCCCACCATGGGGACCCACATTCTCTGACCGCTCCCCCCCGCCCCCCCTCCGCAGGGCTTGGCCCCTGGTAAATGTTGACTGAACCCAGGTCGGGACTGATTAACAAGCTTAAAACTTGCACTGCCCACTGTCCAGGTTGCAGAGTGAACAGCACTCCCCAACCGTCTGGAGCTGGGTGGTCTGGGTTCCCTGGCCCCTCTGTGCCTCAGTTTCCTTATCTGTCCAGTGTGAATAACGACAGTGCCTGCCCCCAGGGGCCGTGGGGAGGATGGTGCGTGGAAAGTGCCAGAACAGGCCTGGCACGTGGTCAGCACCACCCAAGGCCAGGCTCACCGTCGTCATGGTGGCAGCCCTGGGTCGGGGGGAACTGCAGCAAGAGAACTGCCCCCCACCCCCAGAACAGGTCTGCCACTTGTAGGGGTGTAGCGTCCTCTTGCTCTGACAGTGGTGGCCCTCTGTGCTCAGCCTGAGCCCGTGGGCAGGTG